CGGCAAAAGTGGGGCGGCCAGACGGCAGCTACACTCTACCCAGAGGCAGCTGCCACCTGGCAGCAACCAAGTGGTGTTGAGAGGAGTTTTGGGTGCTGGGAAGAGATGCCAAGCCCCTGCCCCCCTCCCCTTTCTCCAGCTGGCAGGACGTGAAGGAGCAGGCAGCATCCCATGCCAGACAGCCTACCTGTGTTCCTGATGATGTAGTCCAGCACCACCAGCCGCTCGAATTGCAGCAGCAGCTGCCGGTTGGTGTTCTCCGGGAGCGGCTCAGCTTCAAACCGCCGCAGCCAGTAGTCGGCATCCTTGTAGCCTTCCACAAAAAGCTGGAAGGAGCCCACCTGAAGCAAGGACAGGCTGCATCACAGGAGGCCGCAGAGGACGGAGAAGCGGCGACAGGCGGGCGTGGGGGCCGGCAGCCCTACCTTGGGCGGCAGACCGATGCGGTTGAAGCGCTGGCCAACTTTCGGCACCTTCTCCAGGGCCAGCCTCTTTCCTCGGGACTTCACCCTGTCGATGGCACTGTAGTTAAAGGTCTCACTGGCCAGATACACCACCTGGGGGGACAGGAGCACAGACATCAGCAGGGGCACCTGGCAATTGTCACAGGACTGGTTGATAAAACCAAGATACAGCATTTCCCACGGCTCTGCCCAGCACGAGGATCCCCATGGCTTGAGCAGGAGCAGTCCCGGTCCAGAGCTCTCAACACATCTCCGAGGTCAGCAGTGCCACAAGACAAGGCGCAGAGCTGTGCAGAAGCACATGAAAGCCTCCCCAGGACGAGATCCCAGCAGCTGCCCCCTCACCTTCGTGCGGGGAACAATGTTGAGTTCCAGTTTCTGGTCCACCAGGCTGGCACCCGCCTCCGACAAGTAGCCCTGGTTGAGGACGAGGCAGTCTCTCCCAAAGCAGCACGGGCAGCACAACTTCTGCAGCCACTTGGTCCACTTGGGGTTCAGCTGCCCGTACGGCTCCTCGTTCTTGGGCTTGAAGACACCAATGATTTTCTGTGAGCGGGAGAGAGGAGGGCTGACTCAAGGCAGTTGGCAGAATCAGGACACTCCCCCCTGAGCCAGCCCGCAGTGGGGACACTCAGGAATGGTCCCAGAACAGTCCCCCACCAGGGCAATAACCAGCCCCTGGAATCAGGCAGACCCTGCAGCTCCCGGGAGCGAGGCGAGCAGGCAGGGGCTGGGAGGGACCCTTCCCCAGCCAGTGCCCCGTCCCATGAGAGCAGGGTGCTGCCCAAAGACCTTCATACCTGGCTCACGCACCTGGAAACAACCCTCCTTGTCCCAAAAGACACCAATGATGATGCTGTCCCCTAGTAAACATCCCAGTCCCATACCAGCGACCTTTGGATGGCTGGGAAAAGCTACTGCTCACCGCTGCTCATTACGTCCACGCAGGAGAGGGAGGGGGATAGTGATCCCTGCCCTGGCTCCAAAATCCATTGAATGGAGCTGATCCCAAACTGACCAGAGGACATGGGACCAGAACAGCCGAGCAGCCGGAGGACCCGTGAGGAGCCCAGGGCTCTGTGCTGGGGGGCCCAGCTAGAGACAGCAGAAGGGCTGGCTCTCTGGGTACACTGTGGGCAAGAGGGCACAGGCAGCTCCAAACTGGCCACCAGCTGGTACCAGCAGCACCCGCAGCCCCTCAATCCAGCCTTGCACACGTCGACCCAACAGCAGGGACAGCAGCACAGGTACCCCACTGCTGCAGAGGGCACAGAAGCCTTGTGCTAGGCGCTGCACTATCACCAAGCCAGCGTTGCCAAGCCACACAGCCTTCTGGCCCTGTCTGGGGGCCTGGCTGAGACAAGGGCCAGGGCAGGAGCAAGGCCACCTGCCCCTGCGGGCCAGGCATCCCTGGGGGACTGTGCAGCAGCTCCGGGCTGGCAGCCCCTGCTCTGGGGTGACTCAGCAGCACAGGTGAGCAGCCCTCCTCCCCATGGCTGGTGCTGGCCCCGGCCTGAGTGTGTGGCACTTCCCCAAGCCAAGCTCCTGCCACAATGTGGAAGTGGGACGTGAGTCCCAGCACCTCAGCGGGGAACCCCAGTGCAATCCCAGTCTGCCAGGGGCCAGAAGGCAGCCCAGGGCAGACAGGAGCAAAGTTTTGTCCATCAGGAAGAGGGACAGGAAGGGTTTGAGAAAACAGGACCACTTCAGCCATCCCCAGATCACATGGAGGAGCCACTTCCCCTAAGCAGGCAGGAAGGCAATCCCCCCATCAGCCCCACGTGAAGGCACATGACTGCCAACACGTCCTTGGATATGAGCCTGCAAGAGGCTTGTCGGGAGCTCTGGCAGCACGGAGGCCTGTGCTCCGTGAAGCCAGGCCAATAGAGCAAGGCCCAGCCAGGCAGGGACAGTGCGGAAGCAGAGGCCAGATGCCTGGCAGCACCACGTCCCCTTCCAGACAGACCCATGCCGGGAGCAGCAACGGCAGGGAAAACAGGTCTGCCTAGTGCCAGCAGCAAGGCAGAGGGAGCCAGGCCAGCCCCGAGGCGCAGTTGGGGTAACCACAGCCACTGGGGCTGGGGAAGCACATCCCAGCTGGGATATCTCAGGCCCCGGCAGCCCAGAGGGAAGACACAAGAGAAAAGTTTTTCCCCTGATGCCCTCACTCCCTGCCCGCAACAGCAGCACGCTGCACTCTCTCCCGTGCCAGCAGCGGGGAGGTTTTGGTGACCCTGGGCAGCAGCCACAGAAACCAGACACACACCACCTTTGCTGACAACAGGTCAGTCCAGGGGACCTGCCAGGTGACGTGGCCAGAGTACAGAGACTTTGGCTCCTCATATGAATCCTCTACCAGCCCTCGCCAAGCTTGGATCTCCTACAGCCAGGCAGCCTCTGCCCTGCCACTCCCAGGCAGCTCATCCAGCCGCCCACCCCAGCAACACCACGTCTCATATTGGGCAACGGGAAAGGAGCAAGAGGGCAGCAGGAGGAAGTGTGTATTGCCCCACAGCCCACCAGCTCAGCTGGGACCTGCCTGCCACTGCTCCCAGGAGCCAGGCTCTACCCGGGGCAGGAAACCTAGGGCACACCAGGGACAGGTGAGCCCAGTCCTGCTTCCCAGGAAACATCCCGGCACACATGCAGCGAGGGAGCCACTGGAAGCAGCAACAGCTCAAGTAATTGGGCTGGGCGCTGCAGGTCACAAGACAAGCCGCCCTGTGCCGCACACACATCCAGTCAGCAGCATGGAGACGGCTGCCACACAGCTGACCAGATCTATAGGGGAGCAGCTATTTGTCGAGGACTTTGCCTCGATTATATCAACCGCGCAGCCACAGAGGAGACGCCTCACTCCAGTCTCACAGGCCAAAAACTACCTCAGCTCTCGGAGTCGCAGCCCGAGGGCTGGAGTCACGGTGGTCAGGAGATGCTGATGCCCAGGCCTGGAGGAGAGGGTGACCTTTCCTCTTTGGGCACGAGAGCCACAGAAGAGGCTGAAGCAGCACTTGGACACAGCTGCCCCCGACTCTTGCGGCCAGTCCCACTGCACTTCTCCCCGAGGAAGCCCAGGGCAGCTCCAGCCGCTCCTACCAGCCCCCCAGAGCCGGTCACCCCCGGGCCAGCTTCACCAGTTCGCCTAGGAGCGCCCTCCTCCCGGCCAGCGCCGCTCAGCCCGCAGCCCTCGGGGACCACGGGGATGGGCCGGCCACCCCCCGGGGCAGGCACAGGGGGCCGGTGCCGGCTCACCCCCTGCGGGTCCTTGACGAAGTAGCTGCCGCTGGAGCCCTGCGAGATGCGCTCGGGGAAGATGCCGCGCTCGCTGGCCAGCTC